TCAGGGGTCCAAAACCCTAATTCTCGGACATGAGGCCTATTTAAGCGACCTTAAGTCCCTTGGACTTAACCCTAGAGAGCCTCCACAGCCTTAGAACGTCCTTATACTCCAGAGAAACTTGTGAGACCATTTTGAGCTTTAAAGAGTGCATTTGTGGCCTTTTAGTGTTCATTCCAAGAAGAAGAGGTGGTCAAGCAAGCTTGGAACAAGTTGGTGCTTCAAGAACCTGCATCTTAGCCATCTTGCATAGCTTCTGGAGGTAAAAGCTTGGACCTTTCCTTCTTAATCTCTAGATCTAGCTAGGGTTTTCTAGTTTTGTCCCTTTGGTTGATTTTGGATCTCCATTTGTGAGTTTAGTAACTCCAGTAGATGGGAATGGCAGATCTGAGGTCCCTTGGTCCTTTAATGTCATAAAAATGGAGTCTTGGTGGGATTTTGGACCTCATGCATGGGTTAAGAGCCTTAGAAAGGTCTTAATGGGGGTGTAGGGTGCATATATGGCATGCAAGGGCATAAAGTTGCCAACTTTATGCCTTAGGACGTCTTATCCAGCTTAGATCTGACTTTTGGACGTAAAGAAATCGTGTATTAAGCACTTCATGGAGAAAGTGCTTAACCTGGTTGTATGCTGGGCGTAACTCAGTGTACGCTGCGCGTAGTCCCAAGACCCTAGTACGCTGCGCGTACCAGGAAGGTATGCCAAGCGTACGCATCTCAGTTGGGCCCAAATCTGTTTTGGGCCTTTGAGCTAATTGGGCCTCATTTGACTATTGGGCATGGTGTAGTCTGGGAATTATGAGTCATATCATCTGTTATGGGCCATGGACATATTGATTGGGCTTTATTGGGCCAATAGGCCCATTAAGGATTTTGGACTTGGACCTTGGGCCCATTAACAAGGGATGGATAATTGGGGCTTATGGAAAGGTTTGGAGTTTGGGTTTCGTCTGATTAATTAAGTCCTAACATTGTTTACTATTATTATTATTCAGCTCGGGGGGTTACGGACTGTTAGGAGAACAGCTTTTGTATTCAGCAGACAGAGGTGAGTCTCCTCACCATATCAATGGGTCTAAGGCACCAAGGTCGGCCCATCTTATGATGTGTAGTATCCTAGCTGAGATTGCATTATGTGATATGTTCGTTGGTATGAACTAGGAAGTATGCTTTGATATATGTGGTATGTTGTATGGAAGACCATGAGAGAGCCCATGGCACTCGGATGTAAGACCATGTGGGGAGCCCATGGCTTTCCTATCAAAGACCATGGGAGAGCCCATGGCACTTAGGTGTAAGACCATGATTTATGTGATGTGTGTAGCCTTAGGGCTAGTATGATATATGATATTTGAATTGTATGTGTGGTATGATCTGGGGAACTCACTAAGCGTTCGCTTACAGTTTGTGAAATTGTTTCAGGTACATCTGAGCCCAAGGGCAAAGGCAAGGCTTGATGGCGTGGCGTGCACTCTACCTCTCTTTCACTGATATGTTTTTGGGGACACTCTGATGAATTAAATAAGTTGTAATGAATACTGATTTGAAAACAATTATGTTGGGATTTCATGGATTATGCTAATGTGTTTTACTAATTAAAATGAAAAAAAATTGAAAATTTGGGTCGTTACAATAATAAGATAATTCATGGATTAAAAATGTTAATATAGAACACAACAAGTATTGATGTGATGATCATATCCCAATATATCAAAAACAATATAACATTTTTTATCTTAAAGTTCCAATATCCAAATACTAAATACAAATCAAATCTCATTTCTAGAGTAATGAAGTCCTATAGCTAAAGTGTGACTAATCACTTAGCTTAAAAGAAGGACTTTATTAATGGGTCTGACTAAATTTAATTTGTGTGAATTTTGTGAATACTACCATCTCCATATTTAACTTTACTCTAAGTATGGTTAAATATCTTAGAGAATATAATTGGTGCTCTAATGTGATTTAGAGTTACTTAGCTTGATTAGGTACACTCTTAAAGTCACAAAAGTCTTCTAAGTTATCCTTGAATGGTAGGATTCAATTTAGTTTTTAAATGAACTCATTCATCCAATTATAATTATAATTATATTAATCCGTTTTGAAGTCAGCATCATGTGTAGATCTTTACATAAAGATCTTATTCTAAAATTATTATCTCGTGCACATTCTCTTAGTTCTTCTTAGGTACTTTTATAATGTCCTCAAATTCATCCAGTGACTTACCCATTTATCCAACTGGTATCTTATGATATGTTCATAGCATGATCATATACCAAGTGTTGTTTATAATATGGAGTAAATAATATATTCATTTATTAAGCAAATTGAATATAAATTATTCTATCTAGCTCAAACATATGTGTTAGATCTTTTCGAGGCTTGCTTAAACTTAGTACCATGTGGCAATGCCAAGAATCCTCCAAAGGAATCTTCTATCTTGATCTCTTTCAAGACATTGTCAATATATGCATAAACATGTTAAAAACTTTAACATTCATCTTTATCTATCTCCATAGATTTTACATTTCAAGAATGTATCTTGTCATTCCTAAGTCTTTCATCGTAGAAACACATTCTGAATCAAGGTGAAAAAACTTGGCATAGTAAAAATGTAATTTCTCATGATTAAGTATGTCTCATTCATACAATATTAGAAATATCACTATAACTCCCACTAGTTCTTAGTAGACAAAACTACAAAAATGGTCCATATGGTTAGCTAAAAATTGCCATTTTGGTCCAAAAAGATTTGGACACCAGAGGTCCAAACTTTTCATTTTGTTGCGGTTTTAGTGCAATCTTTTTTGAAAATATTTTGACGGATTTTCCATTTACAATTTCATTTTCCATTTTCCTTTTATTACAATAATTAAAAACAAAGCAAAATATAAATATTTACACCACACACCCACATTTTCCACCGGATTCTACTATTCATCATATCTTCCTACTTTCATCGTATGATTTGCTTTTTTTAAGTACTTCATCTCTCATCATTTTCACTCATTGATTTGTACAAATGGTTTATCTCACAAGATCGATTCATTATCTCCTTGAAAATTTCTGGATTACAATCGTTTGTTGATTTCAATTTTTAGGGTTTTTGTTTATCATCGTGTTCTTCATTTTATCTTCTTTGATCAAGAAATATTCGTCGTTGATGATGATTTGTGTTTGTCGATAGTGTGGGATATATGGTCGAACTGATGGTTGATTTCAATCGAATATGATTTCTCGTTAAGTGATGCAAAAAACATTGATCAAAATGCGTATCAAAGTTTTTCGATGAACTGGGTTTTGCTGAAGCTTCGGTTTAGGACGATAAGTTATCGATTGGAGTATATTTTGGTTCTTTGCTGATTCGAAAAAATATGAAGTTGTTTTGAAACAGGTTGTATGGCCAATTGAATGTAGTCAGGTCTGAATGTTGAATCATTTATTGTGTTTCGACTATGGATATTTGAATAATCTAATTATTCAGGAAGTAAAACATGCAAAATGAAACACAATGATAAACAATCGACAAAAGATAGTAAACGATACTCATAAGTAAATCTTCATTATTTAATCCTCAAATGTCAATTACATTTATTTGTTACAAGTTTCTAAATATCTATCTAATCACTAAAACTAATATCATCCTTCAGACCAATGCTCCTTGCATGTTGAACGTGCTTAACCCTACTCAGACCCTTTCTAAGAGAATCTGTTGGAGTCTCTTCAGATGATACCCTCTTTACGCGAGATGTCCTTCTTCTACTTGATGTCTGATAAAGTGATATTTTTTTGTCGATATGCCTAGATCTCCCATGATCTCTTGGTTCCTTGGTCAAGGAAACCGCTCCTTCATTATCACAAAAAATCTCCATCATCTCCTTAATGGCTGGCACAACTCCAAGGTCTCCAATGAAGTTCTTCAACCATATAGCCTCTTTTGACGCTTCGCTCACAGCTATATACTCTGATTCACATGCAGAATCAGCTACGCTTTAGTACTTTATCCAAATACGTGCTTTGACAAAGTCCAATTAGTCTTCTACTCCTATTTCTCAAAATCCTTATTCCTAGAATATAAGCAGCCTCTCCCAGATCCTTCATAGCGAAACACTTTTCAAGCCAAGACTTAACTCTTGCAAAGTTGGAATGTCATTTCTTATGAGTAGTATGTCATCAACATACAATACCAGAAAGATGACTATACTCCCACTAGCTTTGACATATACACAAGATTCATCCTCACTTTTAGAGATGCCAAACTCTTTAACCTTCTCGTCAAAGCAAAGATTCCATCTGCGAGAAGCTTGTTTCAATCCATAGATTTATTTATCAAGCTTACACACTCTATTAGGGTACTTTGCATCCAAAAAACCCTTTGGCTGACTCATGTAAACATCCTCAGCCAAATTTCCATTAAGGAAAGTAGTTTTGACATCCATCTGCCAAATTTCATAATCATGAAACGCAGCTATGGCTAATATAACCCTAATAGATTTAATCTTAGCCACGGGTGAGAATGTCTCATCATAGTCAACCCTTGCGGTTTGAGTAAATCCCTTCACAACCAGTCGTGCCTTGAAAGTGTTTACCTTTCCATCCATGTCGATCTTCTTCTTGAAAATCCATTTGCACCCACCTGTCTTACGACCATGTACATTGTCAACCAAACTCCAAACCTGGTTGTCATACATGGACTTGATCTCGCTGTCCATTGACTCTTTCCACTTGGCAGACTCAGGGCCCGTCATGGCTTCCTTGTAGTTAGAAGGCTCATCCAAATTTATCATTATATTATCACTGTTAAACGCATCCCCATCTGTAGTAATATAAAACCCATAAAACTCTGGTGTCATCTTAACTTTGTTGGAACGTCTAAGACGTAACGACTTGTCAATCGGTTCAACAGACCGGGGGCATACCAATCTGATCATTGAATTGTATTCTACCCCGGTACATCTCTCTCTTTGTCCGGAAAAGACATGCTTTGCCCCATTTACCCAGCAATGCAACCAAGAGAACGCAACATACATCAAAAATCTTCCATCGCCTCCATCTCTGCCCTTGTCCTCCATCTCTATCGGTAAGGTGTGCAATAGATTTCTGATCCATTGTCTCTCCGATCCTTATAATATTTATAACTTCTTCAATCGATTTGTGTAAGGTCTACAATAGATTTTTGTTCAATTATAAGTTATCAAGGATTAAATGCAAAGATTTATTCATGCGTGGTTGATGTGGCAGTCACTTAGTTGATGTGGTGGTCACTGCATAAGTTCCTGTACATATCGTGATTGCAAAAATCACAAGAAACCCATTTGACCATCTCTTCAATTTTGTAGTGGTAATCACTAAGACAAACAGTATCGGGGTAGAATACAATTCAACATAAGATATGATATTGCAGTATATATTGACGTTAAAGATTGATCTGGTGTTCAAGTCATAATCTTTAATGTCATCTTTAACATCAATACATAAGGACCATATCCTTTGTTGAATTGTATTCTACCCCGATACATCTCTCTTTTTGTCTGAGTGATTACCACTACAAAATTGAAGAGATTGTCAAGTAGGTTTCTTGTGATCTTTGCAAACAATATATATATATATATATATATATATATATATATATATATATATATATATATATATATATATATATTAGTTTATAACCCGTGGGAACCACGGTTACAAAATAAATTAAATTTCCATAGTAAAAATTCAAAAAACAATTTATCAATTACTTTAAATAAATCATTAATTATGAGATATACCAAATTTTTAAAGTTATTATAACTTCAAATTTAACATATAATTAGAAAAAAAAAAGTAAATTTGAATTTTGAAGTGTTGCCTAATATATCTCTTTGACATGTGGCATAATATTAATGAAGAGTTATATTATAATGACACATGTCAAATGGATATTAAAACTATTCATTTATTAGAACTTATGATCAAGCATTTATGCTCTATTTTCTCTCTCAACTTCTCCGTTAATGGAACTGGTAAAGTTGAGAGAGAAAATAGAGCATAAATGCTTGATCATAAGCTATGGGAAGAAGGATTGTGATGAGAGTAGCATGGAGGAAGTTGGATAAGGATGATGAATGAAAATGTGCCAAAGATAAAGCACTGATTATGTGTGATGAGGAAGATACGAAGGCTAAAGTAATGCTGAAAAGATAGAACTTTTTTATAGAATTTTTTGTTGTATTTCTTTTTGTATATGTTTGGTGCAAAGTTGATTTATGTTTAAACTGATTTTATAAAAAAAAATGTAATATAGTCATTTTACATGATGGTTATTTCAGATACAAAAACAAACGTTTCAATATTGAAACTCGTAGAACTTCTAACCCAATTAGAAAATATCAATGACCATTATTAAATAGAATTAATAGTTAAACTCATGGAACTTCTAACATCATAACCTTCTAATCCAATTGAATATCATATATGTCCTTTTTAATGTTTTTTAATATCATATATACCCAAATCAATTTTTTTGGTAATTTTTATTGTTTTATAATTATTTTTTTTAATATTAAATTATTATAATGAAAAATTATTTTGAATGGACAATTATACCCTTCCTTATTACAACATATTACGTTTTCACCTATATCACAAAATCACTTTCGACCTTAATACTGTCGATCATTGCTTCCATCGCTACTTCCAATCAATGCATACTATTTCCTCAATCTGTATATGCAGATTCAAGTCAGCAAAGCTAGAAAGAAGTAGTAACTCCAAACAAACAATCTTTCCCTTTTATTCTAGTTACCCTAATTTGAAATTTAACAAAATTTTCTGTTGAAGGTATAATGTTTCATACCCAGCACTCTACGCCACTGAAGGAGATACCAAGGATTACAAACTCTTCAACTGTATTCAGGTTTGTACAGATTGCTTGCTGATTTGTGAAAAATACATCATTTTTCTTCAATTCGTTTGTGGGATTTTGACGTATCTAAGTTTTGTTTGTTTGATTACAGAGAGGGCATCAGAATTCGCTGGAATCTCTGCCGATCTTATTTGTTTTGATGGTTTTGGAAGGATTTAAACACCCATTTATATTTTCAGCTCTTGGATTAGCGTACACAGTTACTCGGTTTTTCTATTTCAAGGGTTACTCCTCCGGTGATCCTAAGGGACGTCTCCCGATTGGGTATGTGAAATCTTGTGATAAACCCTTGTCTGTTTGCTCCATACTTTCTTGTAAGGAATGATAATGGATCCATAATCTGTATTTACTTTGGATATCATATTCTGTTTGCAGAGGATGCTACGGTCTTGAAGAAGCAATAAATTGCGATCCAAACTGACTATTGGTTATGATCCAAATTTAACTGATGCGATAACAGGGGGAGGAGCAATTGATACAATGAAAACGAACAGGGGAGTAGCGATTGAAAGTATCTGGTCGACGTGAACATGATTTTGTGATACAATGAAAACGTGATCTGTTAAAGCAATAAGAAAGGGTATTTTTGTCCATTCAAAATCATTATAATCAATGCAATAAGAAAGGATACTTTTGTCCATTCAAAATCATTTTTAATTATAATGATTGAATATTATGAAAAACAATTATAAATCAATAAAAATAGATTTAGCTATATATGATATTAAAAAACATTAAGAATGCCATATATGATATTTCAAGTTTAGATCGGCAAATACGATAAAAACATTAAGAATGCCATATATGATATTTCAAGTTTAGATCGGCAAATACGATATTTAACTGTTTAGGAAGGAAAGACATATATACGAAATTGGTCATGTTACTTCATATTCACAATAATCATCTACTTCATATTTCAATTCACAATAATCATCTACTTCATATTCCAATCCTAATGTAGGTGGTGTTCATGTTACTTTTACATAGACAATGTTGCCGAAATTGGTCTTGTAAAGATTAAACATGACAATTAACTAATGAAACATTCCAGTGCTACCACAGAAATCTGCTTTATATTATCAACCACAAAAAACACTTCTACTACCAAATTCACAGGGTAAATACGATAAGAACATAGAAGACATAACACCATACCAATAACCAATGTATAGAGAATTTACATATCCCAAACCATTACGTTCTTTTAAACCAACACCCTAAAGACAACACATAATCAAGAAAATAGGTTTGGTATGTAAAGATTGCATACACCCATACGACAAAAAGAAAATTCAAAACACAACTTCTACTTAACAATAGCCAAACTAAGCACGTTCACCTCGGATACGCCTTGCCAACTGGATATCTTTGGGCATGATGGTAACCCTCTTGGCATGAATGGCACACAAGTTGGTGTCCTCGAAGAGTCCAACAAGGTAAGCTTCAGCAGCTTCTTGTAGGGCCAAAACAGCGTGGCTCTGGAACCTCAAATCAGTCTACAAATCAAGAAATTGGTTAGATCATGAAAGAGTGCACAAAGTTTGTATGAAATAAGTTCTTAACATGGAGAAGACGCCAGATATTAACCTTGAAATCCTGAGCGATTTCACGAACAAGCCTTTGGAACGGCAACTTGCGGATAAGAAGCTCTGTGCTCTTCTGGTACTTGCGGATCTCACTGTATTCGAAAACAGAATAGAAAATCAATCAATTAAGCAAAACGCATATCGATTTAAACAATTGGTAAATGGGTTTAGGAGATTCTAGGTTTTGAATAGTCGATTGAATGACTTACCGGAGAGCAACGGTTCCAGGGCGGTAACGATGTGGCTTCTTCACTCCTCCGGTTGTTGGTGCGGATTTCCGGGCAGCCTGTTAAATTCAACACGAATTTTAGAAGATTATGACCAATTCTTTAAAAGAAACATGTCGGAGGAAATCGAATCATAGATACCTTAGTGGCAAGTTGCTTACGGGGAGCTTTTCCACCGGTGGACTTACGAGCAGTCTGCTTTGTACGGGCCATTGCGTTTCAGATTCAAACACTGAAAAGTAGCCACGAAACATGATTAGACCTGTAATTAACAAATTATACAAAGGATGGGTCGAACGATGAAAATTGTATACCTAATTGGAAGAAGGATTTGAAGATCGTAGAGATGTAGGACGCTAGGGTTTCAAATTGGGGGAAATCTAAATGATAAGGAAGTCTTTGTGTCAATATATACGAAGGGATGAAACGTAGGGTTCAAGTCTGCAACGGCTCTGTGATGGTTTGAAATGGTCATCGATCCTCGAGCTCTGTGCTGATTGGTTATTATCTGTGCACGTGGAGATTTCTAATTGGACATAATGATTTGACGAGGATCGCCAAAGATTTGTGTTTCTTTAGTGTTGGTTTGAACTTGACTCGGTCTTTTGTGTTTCTTTGAATCCGGTGGTTTTCCGAGTTGAAAAAAAGAATGACTCAGTTGTACTTGTATAGATTATGCTAAAAAGAGTAAATTAGACAATGGTTTTTATGGTTTTTGATAATTTGTTCATTTGCGTCTTAATTATTTTTTTAATTCGGATTGTTTGTATTGTTTTTTTCGTTGCTGTGTTTGGTTCCTAACAATATATAAAAGCACTATATTACATTTGTATACTTTTTTAATTAATTTAATAGACATAGTCACTAGGAACAGTATATTTTGTATTTTTAAGATTTTATATATACTATATTAATATATTAATAGACATATTTGTATGTTTTAAGATTTTGCCACAATACTTATTATAGTTTGACAATTTTAGTCCATATTTTATATGTTTTAAGATTTAGCCACAACACTTTATATAGTTTGACAATTTAGTCTCTAACATGTTGTAATTAGATATTGGCTCATATCTTTTAATATTTGTCACTTTTAAGTCCCACTATTTTGTATATTTCAACATTTTGCCACAATATTTTAGATAGTTTGACAATTTTAATCTCTAGTATGTTGTAATTAGAGATTGGCAACATGTCTATTAATATTTGTCATTTTAAGTCTCTTTTACCATTTTGGCCTTCTTTTTGTCCCTTTTTTTGTCTTACTACTTGTATTTCATTACAGATTTGCCACACGTGTTTTAATATTTCTCACTTTCAGTCCCTTTTACCATTTTGACCTTCATTTTATCCATTTTCCGTCTATCGATTTGTGCTTCTGTTTTGGGCTTCGTTTTGTCATCTTTTTCTCATCGTCAACGCATTTCATCGTCACAAAGGTGACCCGTGGTTCCAGGGCCGGTCCATAGGTTTTTACTACCCTGGGCGAAAACTTGATTAATGCCCCAATATTTGTATTAAATCTAAATATAACATGGATTTATAAAACAAAAATGCAAGTAGCATGTTTTTCGAACAAATTCATATTCATATAACTAAAAGTTGCAAACATCACTAAAACATTTCCTTAGCATTCTATGAATAAAAAACTTGATTAATTTTCAACAAGTTCGTTAGATTTAGAGTTACTCTCGTAAATGATTTTGCAACAAAAATAAAATTGTTGTGTCAAACAAAATTGTGAACAGTGAAGCACCAAAACAAAAATTTATTACATTCACAAATACACTACCCCTTATGACATTATATAAAATGCCAACAAAATATCAAATTTGAAAACAAAAATGTCACTGCCTTAATATAATAAAAACTCAAATTGAAACAATTACTTTTAGAATCCACTGTCAAAATTGAGAACAAAGAACTTTGTTCACAACAAAAAAAACATTTTAGAATTGCAGGGAATCAACTCCAAGGGCATAATCGTCCAACCAGGCTATCCCTTAATACTATTTGAAACCAAAATCGTGATAACTTGAAAACAATTACAAAAATTGAATACCCCTAGAGCAACAAGAGCAGAATCGTCCAAAATGGCAAAACAATATGTACAGGGAGGCACCTTTAAAATCCAAACCGACCAAAGCAAGAAAAACATAACTGTACACCTAGGTAAAACTCCAAAGCCAGAAAAGTAACACCATATGAGAAAGCATAACATTTATAAAAGCTAAGTAACAAATGGAGAACTGGACAATTCCATAGCAACAGGGGCACGGTCGTCCTAAACAGGAGAATACTTCCATTACAACTCTGATGAGTTCCACGCCGGAGAGTAGATAATATCAAGATAGTCACAGAAATCGGAAGAGAAAATGGTATCAAAAAATAGATAAGAAAAGAAAATTTAAAGAAATAGAGCGACAAGAGATGAGAGTTTGTAGAAATCACCGTTCTTGTATACTAGAAAGAAATCGGGAGAGGGTATCCATTATGTATCCAAATAAGAGCCTCTTGACCAATTGATGATTGGGGAAACCAATGAACTCCTTGTCTTCTACATCCGGACCTTTCTTCTTTCTAGGAGACGACTGGGAAGACGGGAACTAGAGCGAGTAAACACACAGTCAATCGGAGATGAAATCATTTGGGCCGAATACCTAATACATTAGAATGATGGACTATAGTTATGCCCCTCTTCTCTTTGCTGCCCTCGGCCTCTGCCCAACTCGCCCAGGTATTGGGCAGGCCGTGCGTGGTTCCCCACGGGCCCACCCACTAGTTTGTAATTATTTGTTAAATAAATTGTTTGATAACACAAGTGGGTCTCACCACCCTATTCCTATTCCTATTCCATCCCTCCCAACCGACATTGTATCCCCTCACCATCTTCTTCCTTTCTCGTCCCATCAAATCTGATTGCTCTACCATCTTCTCCAACAAAACCACTACCAAATACAAAACAAACTAGATAAATCAAAATACAATCAATCTAAATACAATAAGAGCATAATACATTTCTGTCATTAACAGGAAACCAGAAATGCAATCCATGAAGTTAAATCTGACAAACTTTAATCAAAACAAAATACAATCAATTACTAGCATTCATGAACAAAGTTGAAATAGACCTTTGAAATCGATTCCTAACTTCAAAATAGAATGCAAAGAAGTTGCAAAAAGGCTCTCTAAAATTTCACTTCAAAATTGATTCTTCATTAAAAAAAATGAATCCATCATATGCAAAAACGCTCATATTTTTATTTGATTTTTTTATTACAACATTACTAAATTTATAACTTTTTACCTTCAAAATCCCAAAGTAGAATATGGATTTGAGAAACTTAAGCATGAAGATGCAAGGAATCCATCAGATACAAAACCCTCCATATTAAAAGTGAAGATAGAGTTGATAAACTTAATATACACACAAACCCAAAAATGAAAATAGATTCGAGAAAATCGATTTGTAAAAAAAAACCAAAATTCCCAAATCAAACGTTTCACCTTCTTCATAAATTCTTTTTGTCGGTTTATGGTCGTCAGAAGTATCCTGACACAATGGCTTGACAGGATAGAGAGATGAAGGTCTCTGTCACACC